CAAGTCTTTTGTTATCGTGGGGAGTGATTCCTGTGTGTAGGTTAGGGACCAGTCCCTCCAGAATCTCCCAGGTGTAGATTATGATATATCTCTCTCGCCTGCGCTCCAGTGAGTACAGGTCAAGTGCTTCCAGGCGCTCCCAGTAGTTAAGGTGCTTGATGGAACTTATACGTGCAGTAAAGGTTCTCTGTACATTCTCTAGCTCTGCAATTTCACCTGCCTTGAATGGAGATGCTTAATGTACAGTAGTATTCCAGCCACAATTGGGGTGTGAAAAGTAAGGAAGGCCAGAATACCATATGACTGAGGCATAAGTGCGTGTCATTAGCTTAGCATCTCTTCTCTTGAATGTTCTCATTATCCATCCTATCAGTTTCCTCGCAGATGTGATAGTGGCATTGTTGTGGTCCTTGAAGGTGAGATCCTCTGACATTACCACTCCCAGGTCTCTCACATTACTTTTCCGCTCTGTTGTGTGATTAGAGTTTGTAGTATACTCAGTTCTAGTTATTATTTCCTCCAGTTTTCCATAACGGAGTAGTTGGAACCTAACGAAAAAATATATTTCATTGAGTTTGTTTATTAAATTATTGTAAACTTATCTAAAACATATTTGGTTGGATTAGGCTAAATTAAATTGCGCTTGTTATAATAAGGTCAGGTAAGTTTTCTAAGGTTCTTTTGGTACAAAAATATTAATTTTTACATTAACATAAATGAAAAAAAATATATCTTTCAACGTATATATATATAACACAACAAGATCACAAAAACAGGTGATCTTAACATACAATATAACTAAAGAAAAAAATAGTAACATTCTAGGTTTTTTTAATTTCTCACATTATGAAGACAACCATGAACAGTGAGAAACTCTGAGAACGAGTTAATAAAGGTGTAAGTGCACGCATGTGCGTCCCTTTCTCACGGTGCGTCCCTTTCTCACGGTGCGTCCCTTTCTCACGGTGCGTCCCTTTCTCACGGTGCGTCCTTTTCTCACGGTGCGTCCTTTTCTCACGGTGCGTCCCTTTCTTACGGTGCGTCCCTTTCTCACGGTGCGTCCCTTTCTCACGGTGCGTCCTTTTCTCACGGTGCGTCCTTTTCTCACGGTGCGTCCCTTTCTCACGGTGCGTCCCTTTCTCACGGTGCGTCCCTTTCTCACGGTGCGTCCTTTTCTTACGGTGCGTCCCTTTCTCACGGTGCGTCCCTTTCTCACGGTGCGTCCCTTTCTCACGGTGCGTCCCTTTCTCACGGTGCGTCCCTTTCACACGGTGCGTCCTTTTCTCACGGTGCGTTCCTTTCTCACGGTGCGTCCCTTTCTCAAAGTGAACTTCGTACACTGGTTGGTCACACTGGTAACAGGATGTCCACTGTTGTTCTCAACTGACATCCCGGTCTGAAACCAGGCTTCCTGTTGATGGCGTTGTCAACCAGGCTTCCTGTTGATGGCGTTGTCAACCAGGCTTCCTGTTGATGGCGTTGTCAACCAGGCTTCCTGTTGATGGCGTTGTCAACCAGGCTTCCTGTTGATGGCGTTGTCAACCCAGGCTTCCTGTTGATGGCGTTGTCAACCAGGCTTCCTGTTGATGGCGTTGTTCAACCAGGCTTCCTGTTGATGGCGTTGTCAACCAGGCTTCCTGTTGATGGCGTTGTCAACCAGGCTTCCTGTTGATGGCGTTGTCAACCAGGCTTCCTGTTGATGGCGTTGTCGACCAGGCTTAATGTTGATGGCGTTGTCAACCAGGCTTCCTGTTGATGGCGTTGTCAACCAGGCTTCCTGTTGATGGCGTTGTCGACCAGGCTTAATGTTGATGGCGTTGTCAACCAGGCTTCCTGTTGATGGCGTTGTCAACCAGGCTTCCTGTTGATGGCGTTGTCAACCAGGCTTCCTGTTGATGGCGTTGTCAACCAGGCTTCCTGTTGATGGCGTTGTCAACCAGGCTTCCTGTTGATGGCGTTGTCAACCAGGCTTCCTGTTGATGGCGTTGTCAACCAGGCTTCCTGTTGATGGCGTTGTCAACCAGGCTTCCTGTTTGCGACATCCCCAACCAGGCTTCTTGTTAACAGTATCAACAAACAGGCTTCCTGTTTGCAACATCCCCAACCAGGCTTTCTATTGACAGCATCATCAACCAGGCTTCATGCTGACAGCCTCATCAACCAAGTTTCCTAACAGAAGTCAACCAACCAGATGTATTTGTATACACAACAGGAAGGTTAGCATGAGCCGCCACTGTGACCACAACACGGGTTTTCGTAAACAACTCTCGCAACGAGACTCACGAAATCGTAATGACACGATTGCAAACAAACCATACCACGGGTGGGGTTTGAACCCGCGATCAGAGAGTCTCAAAACTCAAGACCGTCACGTTTGCAATCGTGTCATTACGATTTCGTGAGTCATGTTGACGGCTTTGAGGGGACTTGAGCTAGAGTTCGTCACGGCCATGCTAGCGGGAAATTCGTCTGTGAAAACTTGCATTTGTGGTCACAGTGGTGGCCTATGCTAACCTTCCTATGGTGTAGAAATATACCTAGTTGGATGAATCTTATTGTGGCTAGCTGGTCCAGTGGCTAACGTGACGGTCTGGAGTTTTGAGACTCTCTGACCGCGGGTTCTAACCCCGCCCGTGGTATGGTTTAACTCTCACAACTCAGGAAACACCTTACACTTAATACAGGAACCTACAGCGATGTTTCGCTCCAACCTCGACTACTGTCAAGCCACAACTGGGGTGTGAAAAGTAAGAAAGGCCAGAATACAATATGACTGACGCATAAGTGCGTGTGTTTTGGTAAACTATCCAGCAACAGCATTGTGAGGGACTCTCAGAGCCGCCGTCACTCGACACTGTAACAGATTACTTAGATTCTGCCGTCCAAGTGGCTAGTTTACTGTGAACCTCATATCCTTCCTGTGGATGGTAGTGGCTAGTTTATTGTGTACCTCATATCCATCCTGTGGATGATAGTGGCTAGTTTATTGTGTACCTCATATCCATCCTGCGGATGGTAGTGGCTAGTTTATTGTGTACCTCATATCCATCCTGTGGATGGTAGTGGCTAGTTTACTGTGAACCTCATATCCATCCTGTGGATGGTAGTGGCTAGTTTATTGTGCACCTCATATCCATCCTGTGGATGGTAGTGGCTAGTTTATTGTGTACCTCATATCCAACCTGTGGATGGTAGTGGCTAGTTTATTGTGTACCTCATATCCATCCTGTGGATGGTAGTGGCTAGTTTATTGTGTACCTCATATCCATCCTGTGGATGGTAGTGGCTAGTTTACTGTGAACCTCATATCCATCCTGTGGATGGTAGTGGCTAGTTTATTGTGTACCTCATATCCATCCTGTGGATGGTAGTGGCTAGTTTATTGTGTACCTCATATCCATCCTGTGGATGGTAATGGCTAGTTTATTGTGTACCTCATATCCGTCCTGTGGATGGTAGTGGCTAGTTTATTGTGTACCTCATATCCATCATGTGGATGGTAGTGGCTAGTTTATTGTGTACCTCATATCCATCCTGTGGATGGTAGTGGCTAGTTTATTGTGTACCTCATATCCAACCTGTGGATGGTAGTGGCTAGTTTATTGTGTACCTCATATCCATCCTGTGGATGGTAGTGGCTAGTTTATTGTGTACCTCATATCCATCCTGTGGATGGTAGTGGCTAGTTTACTGTGAACCTCATATCCATCCTGTGGATGGTAGTGGCTAGTTTATTGTGTACCTCATATCCATCCTGTGGATGGTAGTGGCTAGTTTGTGTACCTCATATCCATCCTGTGGATGGTAGTGGCTAGTTTATTGTGCACCTCATATCCATCCTATGGATGGTAGTGGCTAGTTTACTGTGTACCTCATATCCATCCTGTGGATGGTAGTGGCTAGTTTATTGTGCACCTCATATCCATCCTATGGATGGTAGTGGCTAGTTTACTGTGTACCTCATATCCATCCTGTGGATGGTAGTGGCTAGTTTACTGTGTACCTCATATCCATCCTGTGGATGGTAGTGGCTAGTTTACTGTGTACCTCATATCCATCCTGTGGATGGTAGTGGCTAGTTTATTGTGTACCTCATATCCATCCTGTGGATGGTAGTGGCTAGTTTATTGTGTACCTCATATCCATCCTGTGGATGGTAGTGGCTAGTTTACTGTGTACCTCATATCCATCCTGTGGATGGTAGTGGCTAGTTTACTGTGTACCTCATATCCATCCTGTGGATGGTAGTGGCTAGTTTACTGTGTACCTCATATCCATCCTGTGGATGGTAGTGGCTAGTTTATTGTGTACCTCATATCCATCCTGAGGATGGTAGTGGGTAGTTTATTGTGTACCTCATATCCATCCTGTGGATGGTAGTGGCTAGTTTATTGTGTACCTCATATCCTTCCTGTGAACAATAGGGCAAGAGCATATGGATACAAAAAGACCTAGGAACTAGTCTCCAGAAGGGTTTACATCTGGATTTGTCTACAGTTCATTTATCTATTGCAAGCAAAGTTAGGATTTTCTTAATATATCTGACACTGCAATAAAATCTTGTAACCTATTTCTGTTTTTGTTTTTATTCGCCGGTATTCTCCCGGCCCGGGTCTTTTCCAAGTAGTGGTGACCCGGCCTTGACTCCCTATCTGGGGAGTATCTCGAGACGTAAGTCTCCCATGGGAGGAGATACAAGTACCCCCTCATCTTTGGGACCAACTGTCCCCAGGCCTAGCCATATTCCCCACCCTCACGAGGCTCGTAGGGAGAAGCTAGGCCTCTGGTCTACCATCTGCCCCGCCTCAAAGGGGCTCGTGGGGATGGCAGTCTTGTGAGCTGCAGATGGAAGCAAGCTTAGGTCTTAAACTCTCTTTGACCTATTTCTGTATTATGGTCGTCAGGAAGAATTTACATCTGTGAACCAAGCCATGGCTGTCTGTGAGCTATGAGAGAATTTTTGACCATAAGGTAATATTTGAGAGAGAAGGTAAGCTCACCCATCTACTCTGAGGGTGAGTGCGCTCTGGACCTTGGGTGACGCTCTGGTGTGTTGGGGGAGGCGGGTGACGGTACTGACAGCATCCATGATGGAGGGAGTGCCACAAGGCAGTGGTGAGAGCGAGGCTGGTGACCGTGCCACAGGGATCAAGTGAACTTCACCCCCGTACAAGTACACCTGAAACAAACAAGAAACAGTTATTATTATCATTATTATAATTATGATCATTAATTATTATTAGTAGTAGTATTTACTCCCAACAGTGGACCTTGAAAAATTTTCCTGATTTTTCCTTTCCTTCTTTCAACTTTTAGAATTTTACTCAAAACTCGGGAACGTCTCATCCATCCACCTTCAAATTATCAATACTTGTGTACGGTAACGAGGACCAAATTCTTGAAACTGTCATGTTTCCGTGCCCTGTGATCGACGTAGTTGAAACTATTTTCAGCAGCCAGTAATGGCTCGAATACTATCGAAAATCCTCAGTGGAGATTCAGATCTTTGGAAAAAGTGCCGGAAAAAAAAAATTGCCGATGGTGGAGAGTGAAACATAATTGTGTTAGAGCAGATCTGATGATTTTGTGTTAAGTATTTTTCAGATGACCTCTTCTGAACGATCTCAAAACAGGGTGTTTCAAAGATACGAACCCGTTTGTAATTAAACTATCGTTGAAACTGCGTCAATCATTTTGAAACACCCTGTATTTAACGACTGGTGCATCTTGGGACCAAGACAGTACCTATGAAGTTTCCTAGATGTGTAGACAAATTGGTGTAGCAAAATAGGAAAAACAAGTTAGAATTGTTGGAATCCGCACAATAACTGAAGAATGACTCATATGATCGGATTCAAACTTTCACCACTGATGTGTTAATTTTACTAAATATAGAGAGATGCTTCTTTTGACTGGCTTCAAAATACTACTGATGACACATTCTATTACCTTTGATACCTCACACTTTATTAACTATAACTTTTTGTGTTCTATTTGCCAGAAAGTTATAGATCCATCTACCAACTTTTCCTGTTATTCCTTTGTCACACACTGTTTGCTATTACACCATGGACACAAATGTCAAAAAACTTCCGCAAAAACTTCAGCAAAATAAATATATACACGTCCACCCCCCCCCCCCACCCCAAAAAAATCTATACACGAGATTTTGGTGCATACATTTCACTTACGTTTCCACCATAGGAAAAGTGGGCAGAGCTTGTGATGATTTAATGTACTGGAGCCGTCTTGCTTTACTGTTCCCCACCATGCCACTTTCAGTGCTCTGTCAGAGCTCTGTGAGGAAGGAGACCTGCTACGTTGTTCCTCAGTTCCCCTTTTCTCACTCGACCACGAATTTCGCCACGCTATATCTCCGCTCCAAGTGGTCAGAATGGGTCGAACTAAAATTTCAATTACAGAGAAGACCCATGCACTCACCCTATTAGAGCAAGGCATGTCTGTGAGATACGTAGCCAGCAGACCTGAAGGTGACGAAGATGGCAATTTACATCCTCAAGAAAGCAGTTGCCTCACTCACACCTGGCACCGTACCACCGAAAAAGACTTTTCTTCTCACAGACAAGATCCTGAAGAGGGAAGTGTCATCAGATAATGCCATCAGATCTCAAGAAAAAGCCAGGTGAGAGTGAGGCAGCTGCTTTCTTGAGGTAGTAAATTGCCATCCTCGTCAACTTCAGGTCTGCAACTAGCGTATCACAGACATGCCTTGCTCTAATAGGATGAGTGCATGGGTTTTCTCTGCAATTGAAATTTTAGTTCGACCCATTCTGACCACTTGGAGATATAGCATGGCAAAGTTCGTGGTCGTTGTTAGTGAAGATGAGGTCCAGCGTATTTTCTAGTCTTGTAGGCTCAAGGTGAATTTGGTGCAGAGACTTAACAGCTCGTGTGTACTCACCTAATTGTACTCACCTAATTGTGGTTGCAGGGGTCGAGACTCAGCTCCTGGCCCCGCCTCTGTGTGTGTGTGTGTGTGTGTGTGTGTGGTGTGTGTGTGTGTGTGTGTGTGAATTTTCATCATGGCTGCCTCCTGGGGTAATCTCTGCTAATATATTATTTGCTACACTCCTCCATTTTAGGTGTCTCAAACTGAAATCTCCCAGTAGCAAGATGTTTGGGGCAGGAGTCGGGAGATTTTCCAGACAGTGGTCAATCTTCAAAAGCTTCTCCCGGAATGAACAAACCATACAGTCAACCAATCAACCAATCAACCATATAACCAACCACGCAATCAACCAACCTCTGGCACAAGCGAGTCAATATATTTCCCTAAGAGAGGACTTTTGAAGGTCATGTGACCTTGTTCTCTGTTGGCCTGCAGACATGAGCTAGTATGCTGTATTGATCCACTTGTCTGTTGTTGTCTGCGCCCGAGCACATGGGGTCGCGGAGACCAGGTTACCATGGAAACCACCATAAACACTTCCTGGAACAATGGTTAAAATGGATGTATACGTACCGTACCTATTCTATGTTAACCAGACGAGTCTTGCCTATGGCCGGGCTACGGGAGTAGACTCCTCAAACTCATCAAAGGTATATAAAGGAAACCACTGTGACCTGGCTTGTTCCAAGGCGTCCACTGGTACAATGGTGTTCAGCAAGGCTTCCTTGGGACAATGTTGTACTCTAAAGCTCTACCAGGACTTGAGAAAGCTCTACGTAGAGAGAAGCTTTGTTCCAATAAGATGATCTGCAATGCTTTTGTCCATATATCACTGTACCATAATGGTGCCCGACCCATGAACCATATATCACTGTACCATAATGGTGCCCGACCCATGAACCATATATCACTGTACCATAATGGTGCCCGACCCATGAACCATATATCACTGTACCATAATGGTGCCCGACCCATGAACCATTTTATCACTGTACCCCCCATAATGGTGCCCGACCCATGAACCATATATCAAATGTACCATAATGGTGCCCGACCCATGAACCATATATCACTGTACCATAATGGTACCGACCACATGAACATATATTTACTGTACCATAATGGTGCCCGACCCATGAACCATATATCACTGTACCATAATGGTGCCCGACCCATGAACCATATATCACTGTACCATAATGGTACCCGACCCATGAACCATATATCACTGTACCATAATGGTGCCCGACCCATGAACCATATATCACTGTACCATAATGGTACCCGACCCATGAACCATATATCACTGTAACATAATGGTGCCCGACCCATGAACCATATATATCACTGTACCATAATGGTTCCCGACCCATAAACCATATATATCACTGTACCATAATGGTGCCCGACCCATGAACCATATCACTGTACCATAATGGTACCCGACCCATGAACCATATATCACTAATATAATGGTGCCCGACCCATGAACCATATATATCACTGTACCATAATGGTACCCGACCCATGAACCATATACATCACTGTTCCATATATGGTGGGCCCCACCATGAACCATATATATCACTGTACCATAATGGTGCCCGACCCATGAACCATATATCACTGTACCATAATGGTGCCCGACCCATGAACCATATATCACTGTACCATAATGGTACCCGACCCATGAACCATATATCACTGTACCATAATGGTGCCCGACCCATGAACCATATATATCACTGTACCATAATGGTGCCCGACCCATGAACCATATACATCACTGTACCATAATGGTGCCCGACCCATGAACCATATATCACTGTACCATAATGGTACCCGACCCATGAACCATATATCACTGTACCATAATGGTGCCCGACCCATGAACCATATATATCACTGTACCATAATGGTACCCGACCCATGAACCATATACATCACTGTACCATAATGGTGCCCGACCCATGAACCATATATATCACTGTACCATAATGGTGCCCGACCCATGAACCATATATCACTGTACCATAATGGTGCCCGACCCATGAACCATATATCACTGTACCATAATGGTACCCGACCCATGAACCATATATCACTGTACCATAATGGTGCCCGACCCATGAACCATATATCACTGTACCATAATGGTACCCGACCCATGAACCATATATCACTGTACCATAATGGTGCCCGACCCATTAACCATATACATCACTGTACCATAATGGTACCCGACCCATGAACCATATATCACTGTACCATAATGGTACCCGACCCATGAACCATATATCACTGTACCATAATGGTGCCCGACCATGAACCATATACATCACTGTACCATAATGGTGCCCGACCCATGAACCATATACATCACTGTACCATAATGGTACCCGACCCATGAACCATATACATCACTGTACCATAATGGTACCCGACCCATGAACCATATACATCACTGTACCATAATGGTACCCGACCCAAAGAACCATATACATCACTGGTACCCTAATGGTACCCGAACCCCTGAACCATATATATCACTGTACCATAATGGTACCCGACCCATGAACCATATACATCACTGTACCATAATGGTGCCCGACCCATGAACCATATACATCACTGTACCATAATGGTACCCGACCCATGAACCATATACATCACTGTACCATAATGGTACCCGACCCATGAACCATATACATCACTGTACCATAATGGTTCCCGACCCATGAACCATATACATCACTGTACCATTTAATGGTGCCCGACCCATGAACCATATATCACTTGTACCCTAATGGTAACCCGACCCCATGACCATATATCACTGTACCATAATGGTGCCCGACCCATGAACCATATACATCACTGTACCATAATGGTGCCCGACCCATGAACCATATATCACTGTAACATAATGGTGCCCGACCCATGAACCATATATCACTGTACCATAATGGTACCCCACCATTTAACCATATACACTGTACCATAATGGTGCCCGACCCCATAGAACCATATATTTACTGTAACATAATGGTGCCCGACCCATGAACCATATATCACTGTACCATAATGGTGCCCGACCCCTGAACCATATATCACTGTACCATAATGGTACCCGACCCATGAACCATATATCACTGTACCATAATGGTTTCCCCCGACCCTGAACCAATATCACTGAAACATAATGGTCCCCCCCCATGAACCATAATTCACTGAAACATAATGGGCCCGCCCTGAACCATATATCATGT